ATACTAGGGAAGAACCCGCCGTGCAAAGCACGGCGAGGCCCACGGTTAAGTTTAGTTAGTTATTTAGATATTTAAACATTAGGTATGAAAAAAATGGTTAAGTTTAGGTAGTTATTTAGATATTTAAACATTAGAATGAAAAAAATTAATATAAGACATAAACACTAACTATATATATTAAAAGTAGAAGGTAATTGATAAAATGAGCAAAATTCTAAATACTACCCGTGTACAATAGTTTTAAATCCCAAATATTTTCAAAAAGCACTTTAATCATACATAATAAAATAGTGAATCCATAATATTCCAAGCATGATACTATATACAACAAAATAAGTGACATTCATAACATTTTTAACATGACACTTGAACTATATACATCAAAAGAAGTGTCAGAAACTACATAGCATAGTGTTTAGGGAAAATATTCTAGGGGAGTCATTCTAATTATATTAGTATTTATCAAGCCATTGGAATGATGGTTTAATAATACTAATATAATTAGGACAAAATACAAAATAGTGTTGTTTGAATGATACAAAAGTTATTGTTTGAATGATACAAAAGTTGCTGAAGATGTAGGTGCTTAGAGCTTAATCTACTTTGTCCCTAGGTTCTTGTCCCTAGAAAGCAGAGGACAATTAAAGCAAAATGCAACTAATGTTTTCACACAATAGATGTTTGTGCAATAATATATCAAAACTATTAACGAAGGAATTTGAATTATGAACCAAAGGCATAATAGTAAAACATAAAATATTATTCAAGACCTAGCATAGGTAAGAAACTATTATTTAACAAGAAAAAAATGCAAACAATATTTCTGCACGGAATAAAAACCTTTCAATAAATGATGGCAAGAGGAAATCAGAAATCAATTTCTTTGGGAACAATTCATAACATACCGTATAAGCAGCTTAAGCAGCTTGATCAGTATAAGCCCCTTTAACGCCTTTCACTGCCTAACACGAACAGAAGCCTAACATGAACGCATGAAGAACGGACCTCAAATAGCTATTAGCAACTGCAAATCGTAAAATGAAGTGTTACACCTCAAAGATACACAAAGACATAAAGATAGAGCAAATAAAAATTGAGTTCATAACTTTATAACTCATTAAACATATACACTAAGCATGAGATATTAAAGGGCCAAAACACAAGTACTTCTTGTTCAAAACATATAGAAACATAATCCTCATCAGCACATATATATTGAAGCAATAAAAAAATTAAAAAAAAAAGACTTGTGTTTCTTACGATTTAATTTTAAAATAAAAACTACAGTCTACAGACGTGGTCATGTTGCATTTTACTAAGAGGAGCATGGACGTGACCAACAATAGATGTGTTCTTAAAGTAACACGAATCATTATATGCTAATATAACAATATATTAAAACTAAACACTTGATTAAAAGTTAACATATATAAGAAAAATATTACCCACAACTCACACTTATTTTACAAAATTTACAAAAACCAATTACACGATCATGAATCTAACAAATTGCTCAAACACAAGAACGTCACACATAAAACCACCACCTAATGTCCAATCAGTATTTTATTTCCTTTCCAAACATACTTTAAGCATTATATATATTTGTATTTGTCTAAACAGGAAAAAAAAAATCACCTTTCTTTCATAGAAAACTATACAGAAAAAAAAAAAGTGTTATATATCTCAACTTAAAAGTTAAAACCTGCAATGACCACTTAATGGCCTGTAAGACAGTAGATGAAACATGAAGAGAACTACATTTTATTTTATGAAAAAAGTATAGAAAGTTACAAAACTGAAGCAATACTACAGAATGTAACCTGAAACTCAGAGCTTGTTGATCATATGCTGCAAGAATCAAATAATAAGAAAGAAAAAAGTTAATACTACGATCATAAGTTCATCCAAAAAGGAGAAACTAAACATATGGATACCTTGATTTCTTTTTGTTGAAAGATGAAAAGAAGGAAATGGTATCTGTGAAGGTAATAACTGGTTTTATATTGGCCGTTCCAGTTTTTTCTCATAACCTGGCAAAGAGGGCAGAAGTAATATTGTCTCCTACAAGTCTAAAAAGTATAGAAATGATAATCTAAAAGAGATTTTACCAATCTCAATAAAATCTAATGGTGAATATCAGATGAAGTAAAAAAAAAAAAATCAAACTGTAATAATTTACTTGACAGCAAAAAGCAATCATGAGCACCCACTATAATATTTTATTCCTTAAATTAATACAATGCAAAATCAGTCCTTGTTTGCATATTTTTAATTTCATATCCTCTACCAACATAACAAATAAATAAAAAAAAGATATTGTTTGCATAAAAAATGAAATTTTATTTTCAAGGGAAAAGATTAGATAGAACAACCACTTCTCTAAGTACCTTATTATTATTACCTCAGCCGAGCTCGGGTGTTCTGTCGCGGGACTTATGGAAAGAATTGAATTGAGGATGGCAAATGGCTCCCTTCCCGGTCTCCTAATTCGATAAGGGCGAGACCGCCTCATGAGCTACTTGGGCTGCTAAACTCTTAAGAGTTTTGGAAATACCTGCAGCAAGAGCAACTAAAACACCCTTTCTACATCTAGGGATGTCAAATGGCTACCTTCCCGGTCTCATAATCTGACGGCGACGCGAGTTCAGATTGACCCGTCTGAGAACGTGTGGAGAGTCGAGGATCTGAGCGTTCTTCAGTGGTAGATCTTCTACTTCTCGAATCGACTGCATGAGGTTTATTGATTCTAAATTTCTCAGGAGATCGAAACCCTAAGGAGATTGATGTCGAGGTGTAGAAATTAAGAAGTAATAAGAAATTATAACAACTTTCAATGGATTTGTGTTAAATTCCGGTTGAATTTTTGTGAAATTGGTAAAGATTTTTTAAGTGAAAAATACAAAAGGCAAAAAACTGTGTCCCTCTCGCCTCTCTCATTCTATGAACTGAAAAAAAAAATTAAAAAATAACAAAGGTGGACACTTGTCAAGATATGAAGCAAAATGAAAAGAATAAAAAAATAGTTTAGCTACAGTGCCAAACTCCTTTTTGTATATAAGAGACATTAGATATATATATATATATATAATGTACATTCAGAACACTCGAGAGCTGAAAATATTTATTCAATATAAAAGCAACATATAATTCGTTGTCTACAATTTTTATTTTAAAAAAAACGATACATATATATTCAGTAAAACATAGTTAAAGAAACAATCAAAAGAAAAATATGATACAGAAATTTTCAGTCGAGTAAATTGTCTTATTATGTCTTTATATTTTTCGAAACTTTTTTCGCAATAAAATTCAAATATCACAATTGTAGTTAGATAAATATACTAAGTATATATGCAACATATACTGAAATTAATCAGTGGCTAGTGAAATTTATCGGTCGTCTCTTTCTCCTCTCATTGCCGCCATCTTATCCGGCGAATTTCACCCCGTCGCTGGTTACATATACCATTCAAAAAGTACGATTTAATGAATGATCACAAAAAAAAAAAGAAAACAGAAAAAGGGACACACAAACATATAATTTTGATCAAGAAATACATCAATATGTATTATATTTTTCGTGTTCCGTTCTTGAGTGTAAAAGATGTTTGACCAACAAAAAAATATCTTGTTATCTGTTTATATGTTGCAGAACTTTTTCATTGATTAGAAAACAATATCGACTCGATCGGTTGTGTAATATTTTTTTGCAAGATGATTATTTTTTAAATTCAAAATCATTGGTTTTCTATTTTTTTAGTCAAAACCGTTATGGCGATTATATTGGATATATAATCTTATCATATTCACCAATCATTTTTTTTTTTAAATAGGGTAAATTGCAGTTTTCATACCCAAACTAAAGTTCATTTCGGAATTAGTACCCGTTTTTTAACATTTGCAAAATCAGTACCCTAACTTTCATTCTGTTAGCAACGTTAGTACCTGACCGTTAGATCTCCGTTAAATTTCCGTTAGTTGTTAACGGAAGTAGGCAAAATAGAAGAAAATTTGTATTTTTGTTATTGGAAAATTATTATTCCAATATATACTGCATGAACTAGAAGATAAACCATGTCTTTTCATTTTTCTCGATTTATTATATTTTTTTCAAAAAAAATCGATTTTATCCAATTTTGTTTCTTATAAATAGTGGAGGCTGCCTTTTTTTAAAAAAAAAAATGGTACAAATGTCTTATGTATATAGATTTCATCATGAGCCAAAAAAAAAATAAAAATTTCCTCCATTTTGTCTACTTCCGTTAACAACTAACGGAAATTTAACGGAGATCTAACGGCCGGGTACTAACGTTGCTAACAGAATGAAAGTTTGAGTACTGATTTTACAAATGTTAAAAAACGGGTACTGATTCCGAAATGAACTTTAGTTTGGGTATCAAAATTGCAATTTACCCTTTTAAATATATGGGATGTTTATAACCCACTAATTAAGGGGAGAAGTCGTTTAAGCTTTGAAAACTTACAATATGGTAAAGATC